CCTACTTATACTATGCCCTAAAAGTATATACTCTTTTTTTGAAGAAAAAGTACATACTTTTGAGTATGTAGAAGAATAGTAGGAAAGCTTTGGGACATACTACTTCGTCATAGCTGCTTCTTTAACGGACGCTCTGTTGCTTAGTTACGTGCATTCTGTGACTGTTTAAACTGCCCTGTCAATCATCCTGTCACAGTTAACATCATCCACGTTTAGTTTAATTAGATGTCCTACCGTATTGGAGAGAAATGAAGAGGCACGTTGATCTGCTAGTCGCGGGTCTATCATGCCAAGAACTCATAATGATGCATTTAAAAGTTAATGACCAAACGTATCATTATAAAAGCTCACAGTGTTGCTGCAGATGAAATATAACGTGGAAAACATTAAATTAATATTATTCATCAGGTTAGACATTGATTATTTATCACTCAAATCCCTTTCTCTACCTGTCCGTCGGGCGCGTATATCCACCATGTTTGTAGTTTTTTAACACTTTTTATGCATGTTCGTAGTTCTAATCGAATCCTCGTCCACCGTGCAATGTGTTGTGGGCAATATTAGCCGTTAGAGTATGCATCGATCTGCACTTCAAATTCTAACCGGAAGTAGTAGACCATCCGGGAATCTTTGGGATACTTTTTTAAACATACTATGATTTGGGACATACTAATTCTATTTTCGAATACTATTTAGGACGGATAGTATGCGAATTGGGACGCAGCAGAAGTTTGCAATTATAAAACGGATAGTTCCGGTCCTTGATTCTGATTGGTTGAGCTGTGTTCGAAGCTGTTGTAAATTACTCTACAATCATACGCCTTTGTTTACGTCTGTGTGTTGCTCGGCAAACACTTTGTTGCAACCACAACGGTTTCTGTGGAACTACATTGTTTGGCGGAAGAATAATGTTTTTTAATGTATTTATCAGCTGTTTGGACTCTCATTCTGACGGCACCCATTCACATCCATTGGTGAGCGAGTGATGGAATGCTACATTTCTCTAAACCTGATGAAGAAACAAACTCATCCTAATCTTGGATGGCCTGAGGGTAAGTACATTTTCAGCAAATTTTCATTTTTGGATGAAATTAAAGTCTCAGGGGGACTTCAAGTAAATATTTTATCTCAAAACAATGTTTGTAAATCCTTGCTCTAGAGTGATAAAAAGGAATTAGACCTTCTTGCTTTACCTCTCAACTACATTTTATATAGTTGTCCTAATATTGTCCAAATATTGTCCTATCATAACAAACCATACATCAATGGAAAGCTTATTTATTCAGCGTTCGGATGATGTATACATCTAAATTAACAAAAATTAACCCTTATTTTTGTGGTCCATGGTCACAAATGTCCTTCAGCACAGCATTCTGACTGATGACAATAATGGGGTGCACCTGATAGTCTAACAGATGCAATCAGTTTAATACTCAACTACATCATTTTTTTTTTAACTACAGTGGTGTATTTACAGATGAAACTGACCTGCAGTAGAAGCCCTGAACAGGTCAGTAATTTCGTTACATTTCACTGCTTCTTCTATCCGCTTCCTCTCCTTCATCGAGTCCCGCACATCGATTCTGTTCGAAACCGTTTGACAGAAATGCGGAACAGAGGAGAGCCGATTCCAATCATAGATATGTATAGGCCTATATATCTATGATTCAAATAGTGCAGTGCTGCCAGACAAGACTAACCGATTCATGGTTCATCATGATTCATCACTTTGGTACATTGGGAATGCAAAAATATAAAATATTAACAATAACAAAAAAATTATTAATATTAATAATAACAACAACAAAAAAACAGGGCAGTGGGCCAAATCATCCGCCAGGCCACAGTGCATTAAAGGGGTCATCGGATGCGAAATGCACTTTTACATGTTGTTTGAACATAAATGTGTGTTGGCAGTGTGTGTATACAGCCACCCTATAATTATAAAGATCCACCCAGTGTTTTTTTTTTATCTCCTAAAATCATTACCCCTTTCTCAAATCAAGCCGTTCTCAGGTTCCTGCCAGTGTGACGTCACACAGACCCAGGCCCCTCCCATGATAGTTGACTGACAGTGGCATCAGTCTTTAGTTTTATCACAGACCCGCCCTGAGTGAGCTGTCATCAGTCCGCCATAGTTTCACCGCCGGAGCAGATGTACACAAGAAGGACTCCTGAGCGATTGAGGTGTTTTGTTGTTGGATGTAATAATGAACATAGTCAATGCACTAATTTTAACTGTATCAGAGTGGTTGACAAGAGATCATTTTGCTAGTATTTTTTTTAACCTTTTGTTGTTTAACCCGTGTTTATATTGCTAATATGGATAGTCAATGTAAGTTTAAAGTTATATGTTGTTCTCTGGTTAAACTTTTCTGTTTGTACTGAGCATAAAGAGGTTTGTATAGGCTACTTGAGCTAAAGAAAGAGGTTTGTACTAGAAATGCAAACAGTAAAATTGTGTGTTTGTAGTAGTGCTGTCAAATGATCAATCGTGATTAATCGCATCCAAAATAAAAGTTTTTGTTTACATAATATATGAGTGTGTACTGTGTATATTTATTATGTATATATAAATACACACACATTCAGTATATATTTTGAAAATATTTACATGTATATACGTTTATATATTTATATTATTATATTATGTATAAATATATTTAATATAAACAACATATTTTTCTTAAATATATATAGTTTCACCGCCGGAGCAGATGTACACAAGAAGGACTCCTGAGCGATTGAGGTGTTTTGTTGTTGGATGTAATAATGAACATAGTCAATGCACTAATTTTAACTGTATCAGAGTGGTTGACAAGAGATCATTTTGCTAGTATTTTTTTTAACCTTTTGTTGTTTAACCCGTGTTTATATTGCTAATATGGATAGTCAATGTAAGTTTAAAGTTATATGTTGTTCTCTGGTTAAACTTTTCTGTTTGTACTGAGCATAAAGAGGTTTGTATAGGCTACTTGAGCTAAAGAAAGAGGTTTGTACTAGAAATGCAAACAGTAAAATTGTGTGTTTGTAGTAGTGCTGTCAAATGATCAATCGTGATTAATCGCATCCAAAATAAAAGTTTTTGTTTACATAATATATGAATGTGTACTGTGTATATTTATTATGTATATATAAATACACACACATTCAGTATATATTTTGAAAATATTTACATGTATATACGTTTATATATTTATATTATTATATTATGTATAAATATATTTAATATAAACAACATATTTTTCTTAAATATATACATGCATGTGTTTGTATTTATATATACACAATAAATATACACAGTACACATTCATATATTATGTAAACACAAACTTTTAATCGTTTTACAGCACTAGTTTGTAGTAAACAGGTGTGTGTGTGTGTGTGTGTGTGTGTGAGATCAGGAAGACTTGTATTTGGCTTATTCAAATGTTATTCCCATCTATGCAATACAGTGGAATACTGCAATAAGTTTAGTATACCAATTTATTTATTTTTAATTATTATACCCTCATTGGGGGCAGAGCATCCTAGTATCGCCCCTGCTCATAATAGAAGATTTTTCATGAAATATATGCACGCAATAGGTCAGCAGGAACGTTTATCATTGGCGCGAGAGGAGGGGTATCCGCCAAAATGAGGAGCCGGACAGGAGTTTGAGAGGTTTGTTCCGGCACAAATTAATCCCTGGTGCAGAGGGATTTAAAGGGGTGGTTCAGAGGTTTTTTCTAGGCTTGATTGTGTTTATGGGGTGCAGTCTAACATGTTTTTAATGCTTAGTTTTTTAAAAAACGCATTATTTTTCACATAATTTACCTTTATTCCACACCGTTCTGTCCCTTCTCTGAGAAACGCGCTGATCAATTTCCTGCTTTTATGAAGCCCCTCCCTCTAGCCCACACTAGCCCAGTGTGTTGTGATTGGCTAAACCGCCTCTAGTGCGCATCTAAACATCCCGCCCCTCACCTCAGCGGCATGTGCTCCGGTTGTATTGTAAACAACGGCGTCGTTAATATCGCTTATCAGTTTGAGCCCGATTGAGATGCAGAGGATATTATTGATGAGGATCGAGCATAACCTGTGCAAGCACGGCTTTTAATGGTAGGCCTATGTTTTTTGTTTGTTGTTGTCTCATACTTTTAGATACGCTGTTATTTGTAAATGCTACTGCTTATGTTAGCTTTTGATATACAGTTAAATCCTGATTAAAGATTTAATACGGTACGGCAACGGCACGCGCATCCGTGTTCAACACTACTCATAGCTATGTGAAAATAAGTGTATAATTGGAACAGTTCATTGTTGGAGCTGAGCTGAATGAGTTGCATGTTCCCGGAGGCGGGGTTTATCTGGGTTTGTGATGTCATGAACCCGGGAAGTAACATATTGTAGTCCCTGCCAGACGTTTTTATAGGCATTAAACTGCCAGAATTTTAAAAGACGATATCTCCGATTGCATTGAACTTTCAGCTTCGTAACTTTGCAGATATTGTTTATGCTCAAACAGCAACATTACACACTAACTAACGTTAAAAAAGTGAAATCGCAATGAACCACCCCTTTAAAACAACTGTGAAACTACATACTTGAATGTGAAAAAACATTGGTGGACAAAAATAGTGGCTTGACCAATGAAAAATGCTGGCAGAAACTTTCTGTTAAGCATGGCCATTTTTAACTTTAGAAATCTTTACACAAAACGTATACACTAACTTAAAAATGTCACTAGCTTTAGGCTATTTCTAAAAACCTGTCCTACTGGTTTGGTATCTAATTTAAGGTTTCCTTTAGAACTAATCCTTGTCGAGCATAGTTGTCTAAGCAAAGGAATAGACAGGGCAGAACTATACTTTAGAGTGTTTCTAAGTAAACTGACTGTAAGTAAAAAAAAAATTAAAAGTTTTTTTTTTTTTTTACGATTTTTCTAGTTTTGTTAATCTGGGTAACTTGATTCACAGATATTTAAAGTTACATTTGGCTACATTGTATTAGATTGTACAATGAAACTAACCAAGACAAACCCCATCTTGTTCTTCACACTGATTCTGGTATTTCACACTATAGCTGTACAAGCAGAAGGTAATGTACTTGCTCGTTACCGTTAAACCAAAAATGTCAAAGTAATAGTGTACCTGTAGCTCATGATTGTTTTCATTTACTCATCCTGATGTCTTTCCAAACTTCGAATGACTTTCCTTCTTCTGAATTAGTATTTTGGTCTCATTATAAATTTTTAAAAATCCTTACACAAGATCAAATTACTTAAAGGTGCCATAGAATGGAACACTGTATTTACCTTGGCATAGTTGAATAATAACAGTTCTGTACATGGAAATGACATACCGTGAGCCTCAAACACTTCTTGTAAATCTTGTGCATTCAAAAGACCACTGAAAAATAGGCGAATCAGAACATAACACCGACTGTGACGTTACAGTCAGGATCACTAATAGTTATGCCCCCAACATTTGCATAAACCTGCCCATGTTCTATGCCAGCTGCCAGCCGAACCATCAGAAGTTCTGCAGGTATTGTGAAGAAACAAGCGAGGATAATAG